TCCGGGCAAGCGCCAAAGTGCGCCAGACCACAGCGCACACGGCACTAGCAAAACAAAACCTCATGATATGCTGCAATTCCAGAGTGCTGGCTGCAGTTCCCGATGCCAAAAACATGTGAGCAAGTTCCGTGCACAGGGGCGTCGGGATGCTTGGCTCGGATTCATGGCGATAGTTTGGCCATGTCGACGGGCACTGGGCGAACTCGTTCTTGATCAGTGAGCTCAACATAAGCCTTGACCCTGTCCTTATGATCCGCGATGTTGCCGAGGTAGGATCTGGTGTCCTTCCAACTTTGGTGATAAGTTTGTTGTCGTCCATGTAGATATGAAGTTGAGGTAGTTGGTGGGTTGTAAGTGGGCGTAGTCCTGAATCGCAGCCAGGGTGGCGATGGGGGTGGCGGACGAAGAATCTGACCACCTCCTTGGCGTGTCCAAGGACCGGGGCCAATGTCCCGGTTTGCTGGTGCTGACACGGGCCATGAATGCTTTGGTGGCGGTGGTGGTGGCTGCTGCGGCTGCTGAGCCGCTTGGCCCGACACGAAAGCAGCTGAAGGGCGATCTCCGATCATGCCAGGTCCAAAGACCAGAGCAATGGGTAGGGCTGTCGGAGGGTGCGCTCGCTCCTGTTGCACCGATACACTGCGTGCGCGCTCCCGAGGAGCTTGTCTGCTGCGCACCGATCGCCTGGATGCGCTTCTGCTTGGGCTGCGCCGACGGTGCGAATGTCGGCGATGGCGGGCTTGTCCACGGCCATGGGTGGAAGAACGAGGCCTGGAGCGCGTAGATCTCGGCCTGGAAGTCATGGATCGCCGCCAGGCAGGTGTGCGAGAACGGCGACGGCTATCACGGCGGTGTCGGGACGGAGTGCGTCGGCTCGTCCTCCTGGGGCTTCTGGAGCGACGGCGTGGCTCTGAGCGGCGACGGTGAGACCGAGGCCTGGAATCCCTTCTGTCCCGGGTGTCGTTACGACCTCCATATGGAACCATGGACATGCCTTGCTGTGGTGGCATGCCCTGCTGCATGGGAAAAGGCACAAACATTGGAGCGTACGGCGTCGCAGGCGGCGCAAAAGACGGAGAGCAAGGGCCCTTGTTGGGCAGCGGAATGCAGGCGCCGCTACCGGCGTCGTACAACATCCTAAATCAGGATATAATAACAGAAAATTCACTTGCAGCGCGAAAGCTACGGCAAAACATGGACAGTTCAAGCAAAACCTGGCGGCCTCACTGCTACGAGCCTCGCAACCTTGGAAATCAGAAACCCCACAAGTTACACTGCTAAAGCCTCCTGCACTCATGCACTTGCAATCAGACATGACTGACACACTTGCACGAACCCTCGCTGCATGAATCCTGCCTGAGTCGAGACACCCGAACCCTCTGAAATAAACCTGCAGACAGAGCGTCGAACAACGAGCGTCGACCCTTGCGCCAGTCCCGGAATGATCAAGATGATGGCATCGGACAACTTCGGAAAAAACTGACCTGTGGTGATGATCGACCTTATGTCTTTGAAAGTCTGCTCGTCAACGTCCCACATCTGCTAGCGCGGGCTCCGGCGTTGCCGGCTATGATCTGGCCCCACTTCGGGAGATGCCAGAACAGACACACTTAGGCTTGGCGAGAACTGTTGAGGCGAACCTCGGGAATCCTAATGCAATGACAGAATAGCAACCGTACAGAACCATTGAGGCCAATGACAGAAACAACAGTGTTTTTAGGGTATTCAAGTACACAGTGGTGATCAGCCACTGCATCCACTCCAGTGACCTGGCTTCGTTGGGCAAGGCCTGTCACTGGAGCCCTTGCCCCCCTGCGGCTATTTACAAGTAGCTTCTGGAGTCATGACGCCATGTTCAGGCGTTTACACACACACACACACACGTATTCATGGCACGTGTGCAACGTGCGTCTGAAGCTTGAGAGCCTGACAATTGAGACAGACGTATAGGGTCCTTGAGCCACTGAAGACTCAACCGTCACCGATTCGGATACTGCACCGCCACCCCGCTCTCATTCTCGGCCTACATTGTTTGCTTACGTGTCTCTTTGCAATACACAGCTTCCTTTCCTTCACTCGTGCGTGGGTGTCAGCATGGTGTTCTCGCACCACCGAGTAGGACTGCAGCTCGGCAAATTTGATCAAGCAGCAAACTTGCCAGAAGCGACACGTCTTCACTGGAAGCTGACTTGTGTGGTACACAGGGGCGTTGGAAGCATGTCTGTAGATTGCATGAGATCGCTAGGAAGTGCAAACACCTATATCAGCGGTGGCACGCAGCATGGATCCTTGCACAGCCGCCTTGGCGATGGTCAATGTGATTAACGTCCCCGCGAAGGATGTCACTGCCATTGCATCTGCTGGAGTCGGCGGTGTCGCCTTCGGTGTGAATCGTGCTGTTCAACGCTCGCTGGAGGAATCTGTCGAGCTTGCCAGACGAGCCCGCAACACGCAGCATGCCACTTCATCGTGGGTGGCTTTGTGTGCTGTTGGTGGTGGCATCTATGGCCTCGGATCCGGCTTCGTGCACGGAGTTGCCGACGGTATGGAGTTTGGATTCAGCTACATGCGCAAAGTGCAGCTTCACATCGACTTCGAAGAAGTTTGATCAAGAGTAGGCCGGATCTTCCGAACTGCCAGGGCCAGGGGCAAGGTATCCTGGACTCCCGTGCAGCATTGTCATTCCTTTGAGTGCTTCTGTCTGCTTCTGAGTCAGGCCAGCACGGGAGTGGCATGCACGAGTGCGCACCGAGTCAGACAAAGGCCAAGAGTGAGGAAAAGTGGAATGACCTTGCACCTGTATGATCATGTGAATATCATGTGTGATGCTCACTCGTCATTGGAGCCCTTAAAGCATTGCCTCACACGGGACACGCAAGCAAAACTTGGCATCAGAAGCATCTGCTGCACTTGGCCCAATGTATTTTCAGAACGGACGCGCCACAAGTGCGCTGCTGTTCGTGGGGTGAAAGCGACCGCCTAGATCGATGAGCCATGTTTTGTGTCTGTCCGTGCTGGCAACAGTTTGGGCAGCAACAGCGTGCAGCGAGCAAGGTGCGGAGCTTGACAATGAGAACTGCAGGGGCGCCAGCTGGCTCCAAGAACGTTACCAGCTTCATCTCGTCAACAAGACTCGTGCTGGAGCTTCACTAGATGAGGCACCGGAGCAAGACTTGGGACCCCGTGCATCTTTCAGGAGGTTCGCGATTGTTACCGTTGTTGCTGTTCTTGTGTTTATGATGTTCATCCTGCTGGGTTGAATCTGGCCATCCGCCGATGTTGGCGGCAGACAGCAACGCAGGTCGAGAAGGAGACTCGGACAGCCATGCAGGTCGAGAAGGATACTCGGGGCTGGCATGTATGGTTCATCGGTTCACTGAGGCGCTTACAAGGACAATTGTCATCCCGCTGTCCTTGGATTACACATTGGCTATGGGAGAGTTCAGCGCTGCCAGTGGAGCGATTCTTGGTGTTTCCTTACCTGCCCAATATATCGGATATCGTATTGGTGATTGGATGTGGACGGATGCCACGATTGCCCAGTCTGACTACCATAGGAGAACCTTAGTGGTCTGTCATTTGATGGCGCTGCTGTCTTATCTCGGCCTGACTCTCCTTTTACAATCTGCAGAGCACTCCGGCCTTGCTTCGCGGCGAACATTTTGGATCGCTTTGTGTGTGCAGGTTGCAGGTACAATATTTGGCAGCGTCTCTTCCAGACTGTGGCGCTATGTACGAAACCAGGCATCGACTGAGGAGAAATATGACCCTGACACTGCACTATGCGCGGGCTTGTTGTGTGGCCCGCTTTGCGCAGCCTGCATGGTTCATCAGATCCAGAGCTTGACCCCAGTGGGCATGATGGCCTGCGTGTTTGCCGTGGTTCTCGCTGGACATGCCGTGATGACAGCAGCGACGGCTTTCACGATTCTGCCGTTCTCTAGGCTTGAGGTTCCACCCGGCCAGGGTTCGAAGAATGATGGTCTGCCCCTGGGGCAGGATCCAACAACTAAGGAAAGACTGGTATGGAATTTGATCATATACTTCTACGAACATAACATCTCCGTCATTGCAAGTGAGTGTGGTGTAGTAGTGGTTCTTGAAATCATTTACGGATGGTCAGTGGCGGCATGTGCGCTGGCCATGTTCACACAGCAGATGGGAAGACTGCTAACCGTCAAGCTGCTTGCCACCCTCCTTAATGGACCGCAGTTTACTCCGTCCGAACTGTTCCTTGCTACCGCTTGTGTTGCAATGTTTGGCGCTTTTCCTTTTCCGCTGGCACTGGTCTGGAAATTCTGGAGCCATTAGCCTGCTGGTGGCCGACACTATCGTTTACAGCGTCACAAGTGCCGGAGCCTTTCCCACAAGAGATTGGACCGAAGAGGGAAAGATGGATGAGTGGTTGCAGGCTGAATGGCGCTGGCAGAAAGGACATGCTGCCCCAGTCTGCTCCTTGCTGGTATCGATCCTCATAAGGTTCCTCGTGTACAAGGGTGGACGGAACTCCTACGCAACTTTTCAACTTGTCACCACCTTCCTGGCAATGTGCACGGTAGTTAAGGCTGTGTCTTTGAAGGAGGATGTTGACAATCCGGAGCTTCGCGTGCCGGAAGGCTAACGTGCAAGTCCTGCCCAATCAGGATGCTGCTCCGGCGCAGACCAGCAAGAGATAGCTGTCTGGAGCAGTATGCCCAGGCTTGTTCGATCACCTTGGCCATGCCTGGCGTTGCATGCAGACTCAAGAAGGATGTATATTAGGTGAATCTGTTCCTGCACTGTGTCTTGTGCCACTGCGGTGCAAAGCTTGGGCGATCCCTACCCTGATCTGACCGAAACAGCCGCATGCTGTCCAGTATGACTGTCCAGAACTAGTTGAGCTCTCTGTTTGACTCGTAAACGGCATCGTTGCCAACTGCTGAAGAGTTGCATCACGTCGCCTCCATCAGTAGTGAAAGCACAATGAGCAGGAGTGGGCCCATTCATCGGGCCGCAGGCTGAGCACACTCGTCATGCGGCAGCACAGCTTGCTGACTAAGTCGCCTTCGAGAGGGATGCTGAAAGGTTCGGTTCTAGAGGTCAAGGAGCCGCGTCATGCATGTCAAGGTGTTGGTCAAGGTGCACGTGATGATCGCGTGTCCATCTAAGTCTTCACTGGGACAGACCTCCGCCAAGGTTCCATCGAGACTGCAAAGATGGGGATAATGTGAGAAACCCCCAGATGAATACACATTGCGGCAGAGTTTAGGGTGTAGGGGTTGCGGTGCCAACGAGAACAAAACCAGAAGCTGAACTACGCCTGCCGACCTGCCGAGATCAGTGTCCCTCAACAGAGCCATCAGATCCCCTTGAGAATCCTAGCTGTCCATTGCGATCACAGGCCGCGCTCGAAGGAGCCTGCAGGCTGCTGTGGCAGCTGCCTCAACTCGCTAAGTATGCAACAACTACGGCGTAACTACGGCTTTCGGCTGCTGGCCTTTTTGGCGGGGTGGATTTTGGGGATAAGGGAGTTGAGAAGGGTTTGCAGAGGCTTCCCTCAGGCCTAAGGTTCTTTGGAGGTGCTGTGCATGTAGTGCGAGCTTCTGTGCATGTGCACGGACATGTGAAAAGCCTGCGAGCCAGCTATCTTTAAGGATGCAGCTATCTTCACGACGACGTTACCCCAGAATCAGAGAAACACTTCAGTCTGGCGCTGACCGGCGTACCTTTGAGCATAGCTGCTTAGCTGAATAGCTCGACCGGCAGTGTGTTTTGCTGAGCGCAGCATTACTGAAAGCCCACCTCCAACTGCGACAACATGGGGTCGTCAAGCCAGCATCATCCTCTGTCAAAGAAGACTCGGAACTCTCAGGCCTCAACCGTTTGCAACGTTGCAAATTGCAAAGGTGATCAGATGTGAATGCGCTTCCGGGGAAGGCCACCGCTGGGCCGTGATATCATACCGTTCAACGATACACCAACGACGCCTGAAGGTCGTCCTGTTTGCTCGGCGCGCCGACACGCTTCCATCCTTTCTCAAAGGGTGTCACTCCAGATCACTCCAGAAATCACACTGCTGCAGCCATGGACAAGTTTCGATGCGAGATGACAGTCACGAGTGCCCGCAGAGTCAGAGGCAGAGTGGCACAAAACAACTGAAGTCATCACTTCGCTCGGGGACACGCGCTAGACACAGGTGCAGGCAGCGTACCAGAAGCGCAGCTGGTCAACTGAAATGAAACCGGAAGCATGTTGCTGTTTGGCCCAAGGCACGCACCAGAAGAGTGCTGATCCCGGTTAATTAGGCCACAGCGGCAGCTTAGATCAATGATCCATGTTTTGTTTCTGTCCCTGATCGCAACACTTGCGGCTGTGATGACGTGCAGCGAGAGCAGTGCAGATCTTGACTCTCAGAACTGCGCGGCCAGCTGGCTGCAAGAAAGGTACCAGCTTCATTCCGGCAACGAGACTCTTGCCGGGGCCCGGCACGTAGACTGGGAACCACATGTGTCTGGCAGCGAGCTCGCGATTCTTGCAGTGCTTGTGTTTCTTGTGTTCATCCTGATGCACGAATGCTGGGTTGGATACGACCACGACCCGATCTTGTCCACCGAACCGATCAGAGAGATCAGCGCATGCTCAGTTTATTTGTTTGTTGTTGAACTTAGCTTTCTAATTGTCGTCCCGTTGTCCATGGACTATGCCTTGGCTATGGGAGAGTTTGTCGCTTCCAGCGGAGCTGTACTCGGAGTTACTTTGCCCGCTCAATACGTTGGGTATCGCATCGGTATGTGGATGGATAAAAAGAGTGATTGGTTCAGGATAAAGTGTGTGGTCTGTCACGTTGTGGCACTGCTTTGCTATCTTGGTCTCGCTCTCCTTCTACGATCTGCGGCACGCTCCGGCCATGCTTTGCGGCAGACATTTTGGATCGCCATTTGCGTGCAAGTGGCAGCTACAACGTTCCGCAACATCCCTTCCGGCACGTGGAAGGCCATACAAGACGGTACTAAGTCTGATGCGCACTATAAATTGTCCAAATGCGGCGGCAGCATGTGTGGCCCCATTCTCTTCGCTTTCATGGTTTATCAGATGCACAGCTTGAGCCCGGTCGGGATGATGGCCTGCATATTTGGTGTCCTTCTCGTTGGACAGGCCATCCTCACTGCATTAACGGCTCTCACTTTTGCCCCCTACTCTAAGAAAAAATCTATGATAGACGCTATGATGACAGAGGAGAGCCGGAACGAAGCTTCAGAAGAGAGACTGCCCAAAAGCGATGAAGCAACGAAGAGGGAAAGGTTGGTGTGGAATCTGATCATACACTGGTACGAGCACAACGTCTCCTTCTTCGCAAGTGAATTTGGCATGATCACGATTCTCGAAATCACGTATGAATGGTCAGTTGGAGCATGTGCGCTTGCCATGTCTGCAAAACAAGTGGCAAGATTTCTCATCATCCGCATGCTCGGCAAACTCCGGGAAACAACGTCGTTTACGGAGCGTGGACTATTCTTTGCTTCGGCTTGTGTTGCAATGTGTTTCTCGCTTCTTCTCTTCCAGTGGCACTGGACTGGGAGCTCTGGAGCCATCAGCCTGCTGGTGGCCGACAGTATGATTTATTGCTTCACATGCGCCACTTGTACTCCAGCAAGAACTTGGTGTGTGCTCTCATACAGAGGGAGGCCAGACCTGCAGTGGTTGCAGGCCGAACACCGCTGGCAGGCAGGTCACACTGACGCAGTCTGTTCGTTGCTGGTATCGATCCTCATAAGGTTCCTTGTGGACAAGGGTGGACGGAACTACTTCGCAATCTTTCAACTTGTCGTCCTTTTCCTGGCCTTCTGTACTGCATGCAAAGCCGTGTCTTTGAAGCAGGAAGTTGACAAGGCAGGATGACCGGCAAGTCCTTCCGTAGTTGTTTCAAGCTAGATATCAAAATTAGCTTTCAAAGTAGGTTTGGATTCAAGCTTGATATGAAGATAAATTTTGAACCCACTTTCGATTCAGGGCTACATGTGTCAGTTCGTGGCTGAGCTTTGCTAGTTTGAGCGACGACCCCTCCCAGGACCGCCTGGCAAGCGCCGTGGCCGCAGGTGAAGCTGCAACATGTGCAATCAGTGAAGCTGGACAGCTCTTCTGCTTCGGCAAAACTGAAGATGCTTTGCCACGAGACCTGGGTCCCGTGGTGGCTGTGGCTGCCGGAATGCATCACACCTGTGC